ATTAGCTGTGGGAACAGCAAATGCAATGAAGATCCAACAACAGGAGACCTCCAGGCATGTGAGCACCTGCTGCCTGACTAACCTCTGGGATGGCTGCCCCGTCTGTTGTCATAACCAATGCACTAAGGAATGACATCATACTGTCAGCCAAATGGCACTGACCAGCAGGACAGGGCCATACTTCAGGGTGTACTTCCATCTGGGGGCCCAGGTAGCTTAAAAATGAAGCAGGATTTCCTTGCAGACACACAGGAGGGAGAGAAAGAAAGGACGAAGAAAAGTGGGATGCTGCCTATTTACTTCAAACAGTGTTTTCACTAGTATCCATAAAAAAAAAAAAAAAGGAAAAATATTCTGGGGTCAGCCTTTATTAAAAATGCAACAATTAAATATTTATTGCTGCTTATAATATCAGATGATGCCAAGTGCATAAGCCTGCTGGTGTTACCAAGGCATTGTCAAGCTATCAATTGAGCTTCTGTGCAAATATCAACTTCATGTTCCATGGAATGAGAAAGCTTGGGAATTCGGTAGAAATTAGAAGTCTAGACATAGCAGAAATTTGAAGTACAGACATTTTCATGAGTGTTAATTGTTACTGGATAATTTTTCAGTAGTTTTACTGGTTATAAGGAAGTATTTGAGTGCTTTGTAGGATCCTGCAAAATTCAGAGCATTAAGACCAATAAAATACACTCAGTTTCAGGGTAGATGCCGTATGAATTAAAATATTACCACTCTGTACACCCTGCAGAAATTACTCATTTCCTCCAATACTTGCTCTTCTCAGAACGTTCCAGGCTATTACTTTTGACTTTAGAATTCATTTTTTATGCAAATGGCTTTTAGACCACCACAAACACAGGAGTGCTGCAGTTCCAGAGTGCAAATGAATGTTATCACTCCAATAAAAAGCTTTATAATTGTTGTTCTGACAACACAGCTGTCTCCATTGATACTTTAAATTCAGAGCCCATGTCCTGTGGTCCTGCAGTAGAAACATGGGGGTGGTAGACAGGCAAAGGAGATCCTACATTGCCAGGCAAGGAGTATCTTCAAAAAGCCCAGGAAATTTTAAACACTTAAGAACAACCAGCTACCTGATTATGAACTGGTTCACTCTAAAGCAGTCTGGTGACACAATTTCTAAGCTGTGCAGGAAAAAATCAGTTTCCATAGCAATTCCAGCCACTTCCTGCCCAGATGCAGCACTCTTCAGATTCCTGGACACAAAACACAGCTGCTATGGAAGACAGGCTGAGGAGGCAATGGTAAGCTGGAGAACAGACAAATTCCCTCTTCTTTGTACTTTAAATCCAAAGTACAAAATCAGGTTTGTGACATATAGGGAGGAAGGAAAAATAAAAGGCTTCTAGACCCAACTACCTACCTCACATAATAGGCTCTGTGAATCAGCAAAACAAGAGCTTTTGGGGACTAGGAAGAATTTTTTTATCTCTCTTCTGATGTAGAGACTTTAATGCACTCTAACACAAGCCACTGGGAGCTCTGCCAAAGGCTCCAAGTGCCACGCAGCAATTGTCCCATTTTCAGCTACCAAGGCAAGAGAAAGGGAAGAGGGAGTCATTGCACTTGTTCTCTGAGAGAAAAACAAATCTCACTCTTCAAGAACACACATCAGCAACTTGCTTGTTTGCAGCATTTCAAAGCCACAGTAGTTTCCTCATCTGCCTTGGAGGGAAGATGGCTCTTTTACATGAAACAGTTAATTCTCAGAGTGCAGCATAAGATGAATATAGAGCAGGGGTTGCCTATAGCCTACTAAAAAAATAGAACAAAACAAACACACCCACACAAAGCAAACCAGGGATGAAAGCAAAATGACCTTACTACAGTCCTTCTGGTGGTATAAAAAAATAAAAAAACCAGCATCAACCCAACACATGTTTTTTATTCCCCAAAGTGTAACACAGACTGGACACTCCCTGGGCTTTGAGTTCCGTATCCCTCAGTGGCTTTAAGGAACAGCTCTGTTGGTTCCTGGAAGATGCTAACCTGAATATAGTACATCCCCTCGTTGCCTTGAAGGTACTGCCATTTTCATTACAAACACAGCCTTTCACCTGCTTTGCTATAATATACCAGATAAGGGTTTTCTGAAGATTTTGGGACAAGAAAACTAAAGAATTAACATCAACATAGCCTCCCTTTTATTGTCAGCTTCCTTAAAACACAAGCCTGAAGTTGAAATGTTTGTTTTATCACCTGAAAACACTTCTGTCCCTTCTGAATACCTGCACCATATTCTACAGTTCAAACCCCTGCCATGAGCACATTCCTAGGTTTTGTGAACATATCTGTAGCATAATGAAAGTGAACCTACAGGAACAGCATAAAACACTTGGAAAAATGTGTGAATAAATATAGACCTGCTCACATTTTCTTGGCTTTTTACTGCAGTAATGCACCTTCATTTCTAAGAGCATCAATGATGCTGGTCTCGTTTTTCAGAAAACAAAACTATGGATCAGGTTTTGCACTCAAGGCCAGGGCCAAAGTGTGACAAGGTAAATGCCATCTTCCTTAAAGACAGTTACTCGCAATCAAAGTTGTCGGACTCAGCTTTCCTCTGCTTCTCTTTTCCTCTCTCAGCTCGTATAGAGACTTGCTTTGTCTAATTAGATGAACATTTATCTCCTGACAGGCAAGAACTGAAAATACTACAATCATCCTTCCCTCTATCCCTGTTTAACCAGAGAAAGTTGAGAGGAAGTGATTGCAGAGAAGACAAGTCCTATTTCCCCAGCTTATACTGCCATAGGCAATCAATTTGAAGCAAAGGTTCCATCTTGAAAATGTCAAACAGAATGAAAAGAAGATAAAATCAAAAATGGTGAAGTCAGCTCTAACCATCCCTCTATGACCAGCTGCTATCTCAGGTTCTTCTAGTACAGCTAACAGCACAGCTAGAGGAGTATCTGCTTTTTGTGCTGAATGGTGCCATAAGGTCCTCAGCCTCAAATTAATTGTCCCTCACCCACTCCTGCAATTCAAGAGAAACTGCTGGAACATCAGTCCTGCCCACCAGTCCAAAAAAAAGGTAGTTTGCAGTCTATGGTGGAGAGCCCTCTCTCCTCTGATCCCCAACCCACTGAACATGCAAAACAACAGATTTCCTTTTCAGGCACCACAGGTGGCTGTCCATACACCAGAAAAAGAAAATAACCGCAACTGAAATACAAATACAGCAAATGATAACAGTGGCTTCAGCCTGGAAAAGGCTTTTTTTTTTTTTAACTAGGATGACCAGATATTCTGCTTTCTCCTTTCCAGTTCCTCTGAAGTTCTCCAAGATGCCATTTTCCTCCCCATGTTTCTTCAGGAAATACTTTTTATTTTTTTTCCCCCTATCTCATGCTAAAATAATCCATGTCAAGAGAAAGAAGATAGCCAGGCCTGGGCCCTTCTTTTGCTGCTTGTCTCAACATTCACTAAAAGAAACAGAAAAATATGCAGAGCAAAATAATGGCCAGGTTGACTTGGAAATGTCAGATTGACCAGTGTTGAAACCCTGTATATGAGCCATTGCTGAGATAAAGATTAATTTTAGGAAATAATTTTTGAACAGTGAGATTCCCAGTAGATGGTTGCACTGTTACAACAGTGGCAAAACTACACATACACAAAAAAGTATAAACCAAAGCCCCTTCCTGCTGCCCTATGAGCCCTAACAGAAGATGTCTTGGGTGGTGGATGCACTTCTTTTATTTCCCATAGATGAACATTGTTACATCTTACGTTAACATAAAATTAGCACCAGCTGAAAAGACAGGTGGTAGGAGAAAACCTGAAGCAAACTCAACTTTCTGATCTTCTGATTTCAGGGACAAATTAGCATAGCAGAGTATTTTGCAAGACCAACCTCTTACAATCTGCTGAGAGGCATAACTTCAGTTATTCCTTTTCTCTGTCATGTCACAATAGAAATACGTATTTATCCACAAAGACATTAAAAAAAACACAATAAGCATTTAGCAAGACCCTAAAAGGAGGGTCTTGAGAGGAAATAAATTATAATATTGCACTTTCTCTGTCAGAGCTTAAAAGGACCCTCTCAAAGCAAGAGCTACACAAGGGAGAAGTGAAACATACTGAAAGCCATGGGAACACCATGGGCACAGTTCTCAAACTGACAGAGTAGAAGCTCACAATCACCTTTTAAGGTTCTCAAGCAGAATCAGTATTGCCTCAACCCCTGCCACCTCCAAGGAGATTTAACTGCTTCCACCAAAACAGAGCCTCTCAGGACATTCATTGGTCCCCATGATTATGTAGTAACAAGAGAAGTCACAGTGAAATCCCTCCTTGTGAAATTCTACCTCTTGCATTTTATCAGCAAAAACACTTTTCCTTCTCCAAGATGAGAAAGAGACAAGATTTAAGGTCAGCCAACACATCCCAAGGCAATTCCATTCCTGTCAGGTCTTGTCACTTCAGCAAGCATTACAAGTTGGTGACCACTGGCTACAATTATCACTGAGGGCTGAACGCCTTCCCTGTGCCTTAAAGGGTGCAGCGATTCTCTTTTGAGATCTTCAAAGGAGAGTGATATTACACTCACACAGGAGCTGCTGGCAGCAGGGCACAGTCTACAATAAAAGCCAGCAATGAATTCTCCTGGAAGCAGGAAACTCAGCAGCAGCAGCAGCATGAGAATATGCTCACGTACAGAGCATTTCACTGAATTAAAAAATAGGGCATTGATTTTGTTATTCATTTTTGTATTTAACTCAATATTAATCTCTGCATACAAATGCCTTTTCCCCACTGCCACATTCCCATGCCTCAGCAGAATTTCCAGTCGGCAGCAGAAACAGAGATGTAGGTCCTAAGAACAAATCGATCAGTCTGCTACAGAGACAAACCGTATGTGAGATGAGGGCTCTGAGCAGGCCGTCACTCAAAGCCTCTGCTCTCATTTATCAGGGAGCACCTCCCGCCTGCACACGAGAAGGGTGAAGAAAGGCAGAGACACTTACGCAAGGCGTGCCACTCATCCTGGCGGATCGTCTTGGTGATGTTGTAGGTAAGGTTCTTGGGGATGGTGGCTGAGGAGTAGTGGTACTTGATGTACGAGCACCGCTCAATTGCTCCTGGGAAAGGCAAAATGCAGAAAAGCCTGGTTAAATGAATGTAACATGCCCTGCCAGCCATAGGCCAGATGGGTTTGACAACCAAAAAACCAAAGCCTAGGAGCAAAGCAATCCCTACCATTCCTGCTCACTGTGCCAACCAGCACTGTCTCTGACCCACGCCACGTAAGCTCAGATCCAAACTTATGATGCAGGAAGTTTATCTTTCACACATTCCAGGAACCTTTCAGACTGGCTCTGGAATAGCTGCCAGTGTCTGCTTTCACCATGAGATATCTGTGTGGCAAATTACCCCTTCTTTCATGTCTTCTCTGAACTATGAGCTAGCGACTGCCATGCAGTTAACATATAGAAACTATAAATCCACGTCTTAGCTTTTTGTGCAGTCATGATCATGACTCAATGACCATACTTCAGGAAATACACAAAGTAAATGCCTTCGATCTTTCCTTATACAATAAAAAAATAACACAGAAAAATTATACATTTAGAAACTGATAATTTCCTGACCCTTTCTACCCCACAGCAGAAGGACACGACAGGCTACACTGTCTCTTGAAGGTTCACAGACACTTTCACAGCAGGTTCAGAGACAGAATTCATTGGCATACCTGAACAATGAGGTTTAGATGACAACATCAATGGTTGAAATGGGCCATTTTTTTCTCTGCATTTCCCTCAGGATTTCACCCATATTCCATGGAAAAAAGAACCATGTGCTGCTTCTGATGTCTTCTGGTCACATCATTACATCTCCTTTTACCAGTACTTTCCTTCCTGTACAATAATTTCCCCTCTAGGATCTGATCTGCTGGCATCTCTCTGCATAGTTAGTGTCCTTAGAAGAAAGCATCTGGTGTAGTCTGATGCTTTCCATGAATTACAGCCTAGCCAAATTCCACATCTGATCAGAAACCTGTAACAGTGTAACTGTTCTTGTATTGATGAAAGCCAGTCAGGTTTCCTACCTTGCTTTTGCCAGCATTCTCAACTAGCACTGGGTTTATTAGACCTTCTCACTAAGCTGTCAAAGCTCATGAAAGTAATTTTCCCACTAACATTATGTTATTTTGGCTCAGGCCTTTGATAAGTAAATAGGTATCCTTAATGGGATTGGCCATGCTGTTTGTTATTAGCTACCACTAGTCAGAGAAGGAGCAATGATGGAAATGCTTTTATGTATTAAAAATACATTAAGATGAGCACTCAATATAATAAATTAAATGAAACAATGAATTATATAAATAATAAAGAGCACTATACATAAGGAGGCAGATAGAGGACCCTTACTGCCAGCCTGAACTGAAAAGGCAGACCCATTAGCCTTATATCGACAGTTCCACAGGGTGAAATATGCTTTCAAACCACTACAAATACAGGTTTCTACTAGGGGTTGTAAGATACTACTTGGCCTGAACTTAGATCATAGACCATGAATTCACAGCATGAAGAAAACCCACAAAACAAGTTATTAATTACAGCACAGTCTACCAGCATTTTCCAGAGTTAGTGTAGTATAAACATTTGAGGTCCTCATTGTTTGCTTAAGTATTCTTCACATTCTGCCTTTGACAGCAATTAGATTAGACAGAGCCAAATATTATAGGGGGAAAAGGCAAAATATTTACATATGTATCCGCCTGCCCTGACAGCGTGATGGGCTTCTGTGTGAGTCTGCACCATCTGGGCACCAAATGTACGCCCAGAATTAAAGTTTCAAACTAAGAATAGTATTTAAATAAAAAGACAGCTAGTGTGCAAAGAGCTTTAAAAAAATCCCCAAATCACAACCTCACTTTCTTATAGGTTTTCTTATGCCCTTTTGCTCAGTTGCTTTCATAGATTAGAAGCATCAGCAAGAAAACAATAAATGCTTATTTGCCAGAAATTAATCTTTAACTTATCAGCTACCTGCCCAAACAAGAGATTTATATAGAACAGTACACACACAGAGCCAAGATACAAAATAAAAGCTTACAGAAAGAAGAGAGAAAAAATCCTATTCTATTTGCAGCTTTTCTGGAACTAAAAAGGCTAATTTCTAATAAGGTCCATCAGATTTCTAATTCTGCAAAGACTTCTGTTGGTAATGCAGCAAGCTGTTCAATATCACTTCTATCACCAAAGCCTAAAGCAGAAAGAGATTATTGGCTGAATTCAGGTCATCACTTGACCATATCCATAATTTTGGGCTTATGCTTACTTCCTCATAGCTCTAATGAGATTAAAGTGCACAAAGATATCTTTGGAACCACTATCAATCAGAGTGGGCAAATAGGGCATGGTACAGCACTTGGCATGGCAGTTCGCAGAGGGCACTGAAGCCCTGCCAGCTCTACCAGGGAGCAATAGTGACCACTCAGCAGAAGCAGACAGTATCTTACTGAGAAACTCAACGTTTTCATGGCTCAAAATGACAATGCTTGTGATTGCCTGGCATTTAAACATGAACCACTTATTTAAGCCCACTCTCACAAGTGTAGGAGAGTGACTGTGCTGAGTCAATGCAACTACATCAGCATATTTCTATCTAGAGTTGAGAATAAACTTTTTAACTTAAGGAAAAGGCTTTCAATTGCCTGGACCCGACAATAAAAATTAGGAGAAGGAGATTTTATGGACAGTGATGATTTGATACTTCTGATGTTTCCCTACTTGTTCCACACAGAAGAGAACAATGTTCAAATGCCTAAAGATCCAAGTCCTGCAGGCCCCTGTGAGAGCAAAAGCAGCAAGGGTCAGAACTATTGCTCTGCTGGAAAGCCTTCTCAGAAAAATGCTTACAAAATCCTTACCATCAGAAGAATTACTAGCTATGCTCACTCCAGCCTTTGGGGTAGGAAGCAAAGCAAGCTTTCTCTTCCCCACCCTCAAATAGGGTATCTGCTATGTATGGAGCATCCCCAGCCTTCAGCACAAACTTAGACCAAATGCAACTGCAGCTTTGCTCTGCGCTTTGCTCCAATATCTGGGAACGGTATTTATAGAGCAAAGCAGCGAGTGGGGATTTTTTTAGCTATGAGCCACCAGAGCAAGAGTTATAGCTGGCCACAAGAAACACAAAAACCACCACAAAGCTGCTCCAGGGACAGATGCAATATATCCTATGTTTCTCTGACCAAAGGGAAATGCCAGCTGAAAAACCTAAATTAAAGTACTGACATCTTCCAACAGAGTGCTAAGAAAACGACCAGCAGAAGGATGCAACTTGAACCATGCAGAGCAAACCTCTGCTATACCATCATCACAAGCACAGATGCTCAGGGGATTCAGCAGCTGTTAACTGTGGCTGGCAAACCCCTGTTCCTGCAAAAATCAGATGACAAACAAATTTGAGATAAGGAAACTAGAGACAGCTTCATCCTAAGCAGCTAAGTATTCACAGCATCAAACCTGCACCTCCTCTTACTGACTCACTTAGCTGCTCAGTTTCCTTCCCATATCTGCTGATCATTGCTCCATACTATCACCTTATCATTCCATAATACTTTCTCTTCTCTCCATTACAAGAAAAACTTTTAACCTAGGCCACAGCAGAAATACCACCAGAAAACACTGGGGTTTATCTATTCGATTTTCAGAACATTACCAACTAGCATCCTGATGTTAGTCCAGCTGCTAGAGAAGCTCAGGTACCACTGCATTACTGGAGCTGTAAACACCATGCCAGTAAAGGTCTCAAACTGTTTGGCAATGCAGGGAGTGACTGAACCATTATCCCACTCTAAACAGAAGAGGGTTGTGATCAATTAAGGTCATAGTGCTGGTGTCTAGACTGTATTTGTCTGGTAGGTAAACACACAACTTTTTCAGAACTTTTGGACCAGTATTTCTTCATTACCATTGTGCCCCCACCACTCCCTTAAATATATTTCAGCTCTTTCAAACTGCTCCAAGCAATAATTTTTACCACAGTTAATTTAAAAAATAGAATGAAAATTCAAAATGCCACCAAGGTTAGTTCTGTCCCAAGTTTTGGATCTCAGAAGCACCCAAAGGCATTTCCCCTGGTCAGTTAGACTTCTGCAAAGGTGGCTGGCAAGTTTCATGAATTTACAGCGTCAGTGGGATGGTATAGTTTAGTATTTTTCATAATACAGACCAACCCATCTGAGAGCTAGCAACAAAGTAGTCCCTGATGTGGTCTTTCATCAAACTGGTAACCTGTGAGAGCAGATAGGTGATAGTAATACCACTTCAGATCCAGCCCAAGAGTTACTTGAGTAGTCCCCTCCTGTTTTGAGGACTAGAATATTTCACACTTCCCCCCTGCCTCAGCTTTCAGGGCTGCAGATTGTGGAACCATCCTTAAAGGTTCAACTACAGATGAGCCCAATGCCTGTGAATAAGTTACCTTTGGTAGCTAGAGGACTTAAAGATTCAGATATAAATTTCTACCACACTAAGATTCTTTGCAGAAGTCCCTGTGTTAGAGCAATCAGGAAACTCAGATGCAGGGAGCCAGCAGCTCACTCACACTAGATGAACTAAGGTGCAGCCATTCTAGACTCCACAAGCTAGGACTGAAAGTCACCTTGCACTCTGTAACACGCAGAGATCTGAACCAGAGGGTACCCATTCATCTCTTAGAGTATGCATATTGGTTTCTAAGGAGGATCCAGATGTAAAACTAGTATTTGTTTTACTACATTTCCTGTCAAAGCTTTTGATTTTATGAGCTTCTCTGAAAATACTGGTGTGGATATTTCTGAGCCTTCACTACCTCCAGGCAGCTTTTCCTTTTTCTTGTTGCAGATACCTCTGGATGAACTGTTTTGGAGCAAGCAATTCCAGAAAATTCACCCTTTCTGCTAGTTCCAATTTTCACAAATCTGTTTGAGAATTACTACACAAACATTTCCTAGTAAAACAAGTCTTAGCCTCTGGCTTGCAAACTGCACTCACTACATATATTTGCTCTTCATTATGAGAAACTGCCTTCAGTATGAGAGATTGCGTTAATTCCAGGGTTTGGTTACTATTCCCTCAATGACTGACTG